ACATTGCATTAGATGCTCCAGAAGATGAGGTACCAGTCATCACACACAAGAAAGAAACAATCCTAAAGTTCATATAAAATAAACATTACAAACTATAAACGACCGTCCCATCCAATAAAAAAGAGCAACATTACATGTGAAAGGTTGCAAATGTGAAAACCTTAAAATGCAGCAAGTGGTCCATGCATGCATGAATGAAAATATATGGCATGTGAATTGAGCTAGGGTTTTGGAATATATGAATAGTAGTGGTAAAGTGGATTAATTTTAGTGCTCCAACTCCAATTGCATTTTGACTTAGTTAGCTCTGATTCTGGCCTTACATTTTGATTCACATCCAATCTATTTATATAACAAATTATAGATTGCCCTCAACGTGAAACACATTAGTGCATTACACATCATATTTAGCACACTGAACCGAGTATGAATATATAATTATATCGATGCTTTCCTTTCCCAGCAGATTAAATAGATAATACTTTTATGATCTACCTTTACCATAATTCATAAAGTGTAAGAAGGAAAAATTAATTAAAAGAAAGAATTCAAGAAGAACAACTGCAAGAATATGCTTAACCATAATAGACTTTGTTTAATAACTGAAACTAAATATGTATCGGACTTCAAGCATATACACTAGTGCCTAATGACGTTGGAAAAAATTTCAAAAGGTGCACATAATATTAACCCAGATACACAGTGGAGGTGCTCTCCTTGAGGAATCAATGGCTTTTTTTCTGTCAACATGTACATGCTTAAAAGGATGATTAAAGGAAAGAATTCAAAAAGAAACATACCTGAATAATTAGCAGAGATGATCGGGGTGTGGATTGGAGAATTGTAGCCCTACCAGTTTAATACCCAAATTTAACCCTAAGATCAAATTAAGGAAAGATAATTTGGTATGTTAGACCATAGCCCAAGATCGAATACCTAACTCTCAAATTTCTTTACCCATGAGTTCATGACACTACAAGATAGGAGAAGAAGAGAAAAGGGAAGAAGATGGAAAAATTACCTATTCTTGCCTGAGGTAAAATTGGCAAAGCTATTGGAAGCATAATCGCGATTCGCAAGCACGTGGTCCTGGAGGCTGGAAGGAAGCACAATCGCTCGCAAGCACCGTGCACTGCAATTGAAGAGTTTGAGAAATGGGTAGAGACAGAGAGACGATGACGGCTTGGTTTTTGGCTTTTGCTTTTGTTTGTGGTAAGAAGAGAAAGTGCAGGGCACTGGTTAGAATTAGGCTTAATCTAAGTTTTTTTTTTTTTTTTTTTTTTTTAATTTAAAAAAAAAAAAAAAAAAAAAAAACGCCTAGCCGCCTAGCCCGCCTAGGGCCGCCTAGAGCCACCTCGATTTTTCCAGCCGTTTTGCACGAAATCGCCAAGGTTCCAACCCGCCTAGGCCGTTTTTTCGAACACTGATTTTATAACTTATATATATGTCATGGCATAAGTTTCTTAGTTTTATTTAAAAGCATTTATAGAATTATCAATCATGAAACATAAACGATTGGCTCATGTGACCAATTATCAAACCATATCTCAAAATTCTCGTTGATATAATACATAACTTACATCGCACATAAGTCTACGCAATTCGGTCCAGAAGATCTACAAGTCAGATTTCTAATTTGTAACTTCCAAGGATCCACATTATGCTTCTCGAACAACATACTAAAGTTTTAGAACGATCCAACGGTCGGATCTCCGCCAATTACCAAAACCAAGTGGCGGTTAGCATTTTATTTTACGAACTTACAAATCCAATTTGAGGAGATCCATACGTAAGATTCCAACTCCGTAAGTTCCTAAATTCTTCAAATATTACGTACTACCACGTACCAAAGTTTAGTGACGATCCAACGGTTGGATCGTCAATTCATATTTTGGCCTAACCATGCATCGTAACAAATTTAGGTTCGAATGATCATCATACGTCATTCATTCACCAAAACTGAATTCAGAACATGAATTATGGCCTAAAAATAGCATTGGTGGTTCGTTGACCACGCGCCGCCGCACACGCCGCCATGGGTGGTAGTCGGCCGCCCCGGCTCGCCGGAATATCCAACTATTTCAAAAAATTATCAAAATTTACAGAAATGAAGATCTCAACTAGTAGAGTAAACTTTATACATGTGGCCAAGTCCAATTTGGTCTGGAAAGGCTCCAATTTCGTCAAAACCGTGCCAAACCCTTGTTTTTTGGTGTCTTCGATCCATCTCCAAAACAGCTCTGACGCTCCCAAACTTGTTTGGGTTTTGTTCTAGGCCTCCCAAACCACCACCAAATTTCAAGATTTTTGGGGTGAAACATGAAGAGGGAAGGTCTAGGTGTTGATTGGGAATGGTACCTTGATCCAATTTGTGAGAAATCCGGTGAAAATCGTCGGAAAAATAGAGATGAGTGCGTGCGTGCACGGGTTGGGGAAAACCCGTTTCTTCCTTTCCCCCCGCTTCTCTCCCTTATCATTTCCCTCCTTTCTTGCTTTCTGATTGGTCTAACCCCTCTCTCTCCTCTCCCCATTCGATCTCTGTCTCTTTTTCCAGATTGGGCAGCTTTGCCCAATCCCTTTTTCTTCTGAATTCCTTCTCTCCGATGCCCTCTTCTCAGCCACACCCATGTGGCCCAATCATTTAGTACAAAATAATATAATATTCTTAGGATAAATCATTTCTTCAAAATACATTCGGTTTGTAGCTTCACAAAACTTTAATTGTAACTCCAAATTCACTTATGCTTGCGTTCACGCGTTTGTATTGTCGAATACATCAGGAATACACTACAAGAATATTTAGTACGTTTCCCTACGCGTTGGTCAATGAAGGTCAACACCTTCACTTCTAGGGCATTTTTGTAAAATCACGCTTTTAAAATTTATAAAATAATAAAATTTGGGACGGGTTGTCACAGACATAGTAAGGGAGACAGGGCCGTGTTAGACATTTTGGAGGCTCTATACGAATTTAATAAAAATGCCATTTTTATTTAGAAAAAAATGTGGACAATATATTATAAAGAATTCAACAATCAACATTCAAACTTAATTGAAAATAGCATCTTTCTCTTAATAATTGAATAATCTCCAATTGCAATGAAATTATGACTTAGGGTTCATCAATGAAAAAAAGAAGCACAACTGAAAGAGAGATACAGAAATACGCTTGTGTTTCTGAAAGAAAATAATACACAAGTTAGTTTTTATAACTATAGAAAAGTAGAAGAAAGTAATACACAAGTTTTTCAGTACTAGAGAAAAATGGAAAATTAATTTATTTATAGGCTCCCCTTAATCAATTGTAATGTAGATAATCATATGATGATGATTTTTCTTCTTAGTTAAAAACTTTTTAATAAGAAAATTTATACTCATATAATATAGGGAGGAGGACACATTTTAGAAGCCCTCAGAAATTTAGGGTCATGTGCCACTGCACCTTTTGCATATCCCCAACGCTGCCTCTGAAGACAAAATTATTGACCAATACAACTTAAGATAAGAAAAAAATTTGAGGTTCATTAATTGATTTTGGGATTAGAAGTGGAACTAGGTCATGAAACTTGTTAAGCAATTCGATGCAGGATATCCCTTCTATAGTTACCAGTTACCATAGATGAAAGCGAGTTAAAAAAATGTACACTTATATTTAGTATATTTGATATATGTATTCGATTTACTGTGTTTACTATGTTAACTTAGACAGTTCCTTATGTTTACTGTTGAACATAGTTCAAAGACATATCTGTAGCTGCAGTTTCTGGGCTTAACAGCTTAGTTAAGTCTTCCATCAAATCAGGCACCATAAAGCGATTCATTTACACAGCCTCCGTGGTAGCTGCATCACCAGTCAAAGACTCTGGAAGCGGTTTCAAACAATTCCTGGATGAGTCCTGTTGGACTCCCCTCAATCTTTCATTTCCTCTTGCCACACAACCAATGATTGCAAGCACCAAATTTATGACAACCAATAAAATTGTGAAATTCCTTAAGAAAGTAGTGCTATTGTCAAGTAGCGAGTAAGAGAAGAAATCACCGCCACTGATGGATCAGATTTCTACATGCATTCACATGCATGACTGATGCTAGCATATTGTGTTCTAATTAAGAATGCCATCATCAATCATTTGTTAGCACTTTAATTATTTTCGGGTAAAAAAAACTACGAAGAAGTGGGTAACATGTATTTGTAGGAGTATACACACTCAAAGATCCTTTCAGAGAAAGAAGCGCTGAAGCACATTAGCGCGATGAGCTTGAAGTAGTCAGCATTGTCTATGGCCTTGTGGGAGGGGATACATTTCTCCCTACTATGCCTGACAGCATGGAAGTGCTCATTTCACAGATCACAAAAAATGTTAGGGGGTACAAAACCCTGAGATTTTTGGAGGAATTGTTGGGGAAAGTTCCATTTGTTCGCATTGAAGATGTCTGTAAGGCACACATATTATGCATGGAGCAGCCTTCCATCAGCGGCAGATTTCTGTGCCAGTGAATATTTGTCATCAGCAGAAATAGCATCTCACTGGGAGAAAAATTACCCAGATATCAGAATTGCTAAAGAGTAAGTTACTATACACGTTATTATGAAAACTCCATGGAATTGCTAGATTGGCATTCTAAAAAAGTAATATTGCACTTCTCAAAGCGCAATTTCTCATGTATGCTTTTGGAAGAAAAAAGTGTTTGATAATATTTTTAGTGTGCTAAGAACAGCTTCCGTATTCTATAATGGTTCCAAACATTATGCATTCAGAAGTTCATTGAGTGCTGTTTTGTTTTAGGTTTGTTGAAGATATAGAGAGAAATTTATTGGGGTTCTTCAAAGCTAAAGAAAATTGGATTCGAGTACAAATTTGGTGCCAAGGAGATATTGGATGGAACTCTAAAGTGGGCACAAAAGATGGGTGAGTTTGCTTCCAGCCAAGACCAATGCCTCTGATCACTGATCAGTCAATTGTGGCAGTTGTTAAGATTTTGATCTTATTAACTCAAAATTTGATCAAGACTGCATTTTATTTTTTTAAATCAGCACTAATCCTCTTGGACCAAAGAATTTACAATTCAATGAGGCTAGAAGTGGAAAGAAGAAAAAGAAAGGTAAAGACACACAGAAAGGCTTCCTAACACGCTACTTCTAATAACTACCTGGACAAAAAAAAATTAACTAACTAGACAGAGGAACCTCTCTTCCAAGCCTCATTTATCTCTCTGCAATTTTTTTAGGGTTTTTTTTTTTTCTTTCCAAAGTAGAGAAGGAAAAAGTTAACACTTTAAGCCAAAATAATCTGGGTGAAATTCCAAATCATCAATTGAGAAGTCAAAATCCCCAATTGGTGAATTGGTGACTGAAGTTGGAGCTGAGATTATCTCCGTGAGACCAGATTCTGAAGTCTGCACTTCATGCACTAGTCCGAAACTGCTCACATGGCACGGTGACACTGTCAAGTAGTCCGACTCAAATGTTGTTGCTGGAGATCCAAATACCGGAGCATAGTCATCCATCAAATTGCTCTCCATCATAATTGCGCTAAAAATATGGTCCCCAACATTTTCGGATTCAATCGGAGTGGAAGGGAAGGAGAATGATGGAAATATATCATTCTCTCTAGTGTCCAAATGGTCAGTTTTAACCCTAAGCCCTGCTCTTCCGAAACTGAATGACATCTCCGTTGAAAACTGATTCGGTTTTTCGACTTCTAGGGTTTTATTTTGGTTGCCTTTGAACTCTTCTTTAACCCTAGCTGACCGTGAGACTTGGCTACAAGTATGTAATCCCCTGTAGGTTAGCACAAAGATTGTTGGGTCTGCATCTGATTTCTGTACTTGCTTGGTCGCTACGCAACCCTGTGTGCCACGATGTGTGCATCTGTAGTAGCCTCTGCAACGCAAGAAAACAAAAACCCTCTTTAGAAATTAATTTCTTGTCTCACTAAATTTACATGTATTGTAGACCACCATTGAAAGTGACATATTAGATGGCATTTTATTGAGTAAATATCAACGGTCCCAAATTGAGCCAAAGCACAAACGCCTGTTTTGTGGTCCATACATGGTTTTGGTGTACACACGGTAGTTTTAGGCCGCCCATAGAATAGGTTTCGGATGGACCCGACTTCTCTGCCCTCCCAGTTCTCATACATTCTTATCCCTTCTTATTTTATGCGGTCACGGTTAAGTCACGTCAGCATTTTATATTGATTTTTTTTATAGAGATAATAAGATAAAAACCAATAATAATATAAAATGTTGACGTGGCTTAACCGTGACCGTACAAATAGAAGGGGATGAGAATGTATGAGAATTGAAATGATAGAGAAGGCAGATCCGGTTTTGGACTTGGACTCGTGACCAGGGCAAGACACGTTTAACGTTAAAAGGTATGTACCGCTGTATGCTTAAGAATTGTCAAACCTATGGGCCAAACAAAAAATAAAAAAAACAAAAAACGGTACTTATATACAGACGAACTTGCAAAAAATTGAAGTGTCACATAAACCAAGCTGTCAGCAACCAGAAGCTTTTAGTATCCAGTTACAGTCACATTTGGATAAGTTCTAATTTGTAAGAACTTTTCTCCTTCATGCAATTGTAGAAAAAGAAATCATCATCTTTCTGTAATTTGTGGATATAATTTTTATAGCAAAAAAGAAGAAAAGGAAAAGGTGTTTGGTGTTCAGCAATTTTCATGTGCTGCATATGTTTTAGGAGCAGCCTGATTCATGAGTCACTGACTAATGATTAAATCAGACTCGTATGATAAAAAGCAAAAGGTGTTTCCCACTACGAGCAAATAGAGATTTGACTCGTGTGATGCAGTACGATCACGCTTCTACACTTAACTTGGATTCCATCGTCATAAATTAGATTAAATTAGAATATCGTTTAATAAACTTCAAAAAGTAATAGTTCTCACCTTGGATGATTAGTTCCAAGGATATCCTTTTGGCCATATTTTCTCCAACTATAGCCATCATCAAGACTCCCGTCTAACCCTGTTCCAGTGGAAACCTTCACTTCCTTAGTCCACCTGGGCATTGTTTTCCTGCAACACAAAAAAATCCCAACAATTTCATCAATATCCAATTTCAACAACTAAATTTAACTAATAAAAAAACTACCCATCTAACAAAATTAAACACCAAATAAAAAAATGACCTCTTTTTGAAGACATTTTGTCCTTGCAATCTTGGTCAGAGATCTCACTCAATGGGCTACTATTGCCAAATGAAGTTGGTGATTCCAACATACTTTCATGAGCTGCGATGTGCTTGGATTCTCCGTCAGAGCCATCCCCACTGCCTGTGAGCAGTGAGAGTGCCTTGTCATATGAAAAAAGTATCTTTGAAATCAGAAAGTCTTTTGTTTCTTGTGAGGAAGAATGGTGGAGGTGGCTCATCAGCTGCTCCGCCAGCTCCTTCCCTTGAGTTAGCTCATTGCTTAGACTCTTCTGCTCCCACTCCATGCTCTTCCTCTTCTCCATTTACAAAAATGTGAACTCAAAAAGAAACTAAAAATAATGCTTCAAGTTGTGATAATTATGGAAATTATGGATAAATTTGAGCTAGAAACACCAAATCTCCCAAATGAAGATTGATAGGTAGTTTGCTTAAGTAGTGAGAGAGAGAGAGAGAGAGAGAGAGAGAGAGAGAGTTGTGATGTTATGGAGAGAAGGGAAACGTTGTGTGTTTGAATTTGTTAGTGGAAGTGTGAGGAAGAGGGGGTGGATATAAGGGGATGAGAAAAGATGATGGGAAAAGATAAGGAAAAGAGACAGATTTGACTGAAGAAAACTTAACTAATTTGATTTTCTTTTGCCCTAAGTTCGATTCCCCCACCCCCAAGCTTAACTAATGACAAAAAAAAAAAAAAAAGAAGGCAAAATAGTAGAGCATTAAAGAGAAATGTGTACGAATAGTAGAGATATAAAGAGAAATGTGTACGAAAAGTCTTGCCGACCCATTCAACCCCGAAAATTATTAGACTCATAAACTCTCTCTCTCTCTCTCTAAAAAAATTATAATAGTGACTGACGAGAAGTAACGCGGAAGAAGGTTTGAAGTTTCTAGGTCTTATCCCTGTAGGGTTCAACAAGTCCCTTTCGCACCTAACCTGGCTAATTTTTAAAGAAATTAAATTCATACATTCCAAATTATTTTTCTCACATTTTTTTTATTTTTTTAATATTTTCTACACACCATTAGTATTTGATAAATAATATTAAAAAATTAAAAGAGTGTGAGAGAAATAATTTGGGATATGTGAATATAATCTCCTAATTTTTATTGGGTGATATTAGAGCATGAGGAACCATATGATGTGCTGCTCGATTCTATGTTAGAATATGAGTATTTAATTTAAGATTAATTGTCAATAAGCACTGATGTTTATAGTCTTTTAAGATATTATTGTTCAACTGTTTGAGTATTGTTATTGATGTTTCAAAATATCCTATGCTGCTTTGTTATAAAGCATAAAGAAGCAAATTCACTTGAAGAATACATAATAACTTTTTAAGAGTGCTAATAGCAATTGCTTTGATCGAAAACACCTTTTCATATATAGAAACATATATTCACTTTGGTTCTTATTTTTTATATATTCACTTTGTTGATTGATTTGAATAATTACTTATGGCGTCTTTTATCAAATGAATTTTGTTTATACACACTTTTCGAGATGGTAACCGTGTTGCTAATAAACTTTGTCAAATGAATTTTATTTGCGCTTAAATAACTTTATCATAAAATTAGGAAATAAATAATAAAAAACTGAAAATGACGTACGGTAGTGCGCAATGTGAAAAGCTTTTGCTTACGTTGATGTTGATAGACAAAGCCCTGTGAGGCACGAACACGCACATACAAATATGAAAAGCCCACTTTTTTCTTTTTTTATCTTGTGTTGGAATATGAAATACCCACTTGAATATTGCTTGAAACTTTGTTTTTTCTATTTACCCTGGCCTACATGTTAAATAAATACTATAATACATATAATATGTTATCATATTCAACTCTTCAACTAGCTAGTTCCATGTTGGATATAGTGACATGGATAATACTTGCACCCGTTATGTAGGATGCACATTGTGGATGCAAATTTCTTCTTTTTTGTTCTTAGATGAAAATGCATCTGCAAAAACAATTAACGAGCCTCACGCGCCCACGATGAATGGGAGGGAGGCTTTGGCCAAAGAACGTCTAATGCTAAAGTTAGAATTTTGAGAGAAAAATATTTGGAGAATTTAGAGAATTTTTCAAGAGGATTCAACATAGGTTTTTTGAGAAATAAAGTGGTATTTATAGGGGTATGGCCAACCCCTTTTGGAGAATTGGGAACCGGCCACATTTGGTGGTTTTTGGGTGTAATTGCAAGATATTATGTCACCATAATATCTTGCAATCAATTAGGAAATTAATTCGGTTTTTAATTAATTAATTAGAAAATAAACAAATTAATTTATATAATTAATCATATTTTGAATGAATATTTGGAGGCTACCTTATGGGGAGGATTTGATGAGGATAAATTAAATAAGTTTTGAATAAACACCTATTTTGGTCACTTTGACCTTGATTGAGTGATGATTGTCCGATGCTCACGCGTAGGAGTTTCGATGTGCCTCGAGGGTAATCTTGTCCTTTTCACTCAAAAAATTCACGTGTCGCCTCCATATTTTTCTTGATTATTTTTTGCTTCACACATATATTCTCTATTCACGAATATCGTATCTTGATTGAATAAAATTAACAATTAGAACTATTTAATTTATTAATATTTATTCGAATTCGAGATCGTTTAAGTATCTAAACACATCAAATAAATGAACGGTTTATCATGAATATGTTACTTGGTACCTACATCATTGATTTGTTCTCTAATGAAATTATGATGATTAAGAAATTGAATGTTTCTATTATGAAATTATAAAAATTAAGAAATTGAATGATTCCGGTTATGAAATTTATACAGTCAAGATACGTTATTCTCAAACAGAGAATGATCTCATCCCCAATAATTGATGGATGATCATGTGACATTTATAATATGTGATCATCCAATAGTTCTTGTTTTTAAAGTTATCTTGTTGTTTTCTAATTACTGGTTTTTTTTTTTTTTTACTTTGATTTAATGTTGATGTGAAATTCTTGCCTATAATCATATTTTTAAAGGGTTTTACTATTCACACATTTATTTTTATTTTTCATACACTCTTAATTAATTTATGTCATTTATTTTTCTTCCGTTTCTTGATCTAATGGTTTAAAACTGAAAAGAATGTGTGAGAAATTAAAGAGATAGGATTACCATTTTCAAATTGGCTAATTTTATCATGACCTAGCAGTCTAGCACACGAGGAGAAACCGTATATATATATATATATATGGGATAGGATCAATGGACAAACGTTTGACAAACATTTTTACTAACCTTTAGATCTTATAACATCCAACGGTGTTGATTAAGAGTTATGTGAAGACTTTTAAACATTAAATGAATTGGATGATGATTTGGATTATAACTAATAAGGAAAACACTAATTTAATTTAAAATATATATATATGATAAAATAATAGAATTTAAAAATAAAAATAAACACAACCCTAAAAATACTCTACCCTCCATCTTCCTCTTTGTTTGCTGATGAGGCAGTCTTCTCCTTCTTTTTTTGTCTGAAAATGTATACTCTTCTTGCCTTTTCAAACAATGAACCCTAGTGAACAATAAAACATGCTACTAAGCAAAGAGAGAGTTTTGCTTTAAGAAAAAAAAAATTAGGGTTTTATCTTGAGAAGGTTTAAGCACTCTAAGTTTAGACGAACAACTCAACCACTTTGTCACATCCATAGCAAAACTCTAATAACCCAAGATCCAAGAATGAAGATTTTGGATTTTAGGCTTCTTCATTGCGGTTTCAGTTTCACATTTTTTCTGTATCAAATTTTAACCTTTTTTTTTTAAATCAATTTTTTTATCAGATTTTTTTTTAATTTATATATTCCACACCATCATTCAATTCATTTAATGTTTAAAAGTCTCCACATAACTTTTAATTAACACCGTTCAATGTTATAAGATCTAAAGGTTACAATAGAGTGTAAAAATATTTGTCAAAATCTTTGTCCCTTGATCCTATCCCTATATATATATTCTATGCAAGAAATTTTCTTTTAAAGCCACCTAGAAGATTAATGGACATCACAATCGCAGCTTATATTATATAAGGAAAACATAATTAATTCATAAAAAAAATAGATAGATTAACTAAAGTGAATAACCAACATATATCGATTTTTTTTAAAGCACAAACAGTCAAGTTCAAGACTGTCAGTTTGTAACCCAATATATAAACATCTACTACAGCTATTTTCCTAATATAATGATTTTCGACCCTTTAACTATTTTCTATGCTACGTAGCATCCTTTATTTAGAAAACCATCATATGCTAAAACCTTTTAGTCTTATCTCAAGGGATAGAAAGTTATTAGCTTTGCCTCCTACTTTCTTAACATTGTAAACAACATATATGATGTCCTCTTGTTTACACTAAAGGGTGATAATTTTTACACACCCCGTTTTATTTTTATACATCACATTTTGCCTCACGCACCCTCAAAAATTGTTAAACAATTCCCTTTTTAGTCTCATTTAAGAACATATATTAACATGTATATAGATACTATTTTATTCCTTATATGTAAAGAGTTATTCCTTTATACATAACGATGATATATCTTTTCTCCAATATCATCATATATTTCCAACCATTCATTCTTTTTGTAATGGTATGTTTGTTCAAAGAATATAATTTGCCGTGCTAGTTGTTAGAGGAGTGACTTGTCCCTTTGCTTATTTTGTTTTCTGTTCTTTTCCACGTACATGAAAAAACACAAAAAGTCGAAATGGTTTTAAGTTAAATAAACCTACAGGGTTTTAATTTAAACACATAACAGATAAGATATTCTTCACATGGCATATCCAGTTAAGCCACCATTTCATCCAAGAAACAGAGAAGCCATCATTATTGAGCATGGTAATCTTTTACCTTAATAAAACAAGTAATTGAGTTCTCAACATGGTAGTTAAAAGAATAAAACTAATATGAGTTGGAAGTGCATTTGTCAAACCAAATTGGTTTAAAGAAAGAATTTTATTCTTTTTTTGAAAAGCATGTGGTGATTGCTTCTACTAAATTCCTCATTTATCTTGCAATTTGGGAATCTTAAAGCTTAAGATACTAACATCAAAGCAAGTGTTTTTATTCTTTAATACTAGTTGTTGCAATTGCAATAGTTCAATATATTATTCCTCTTGTTAACTTTTTCTTGTTGCTTGCAACCTTCTTTTTATACAAAATTAGGAAGGGTTAAACCGAAACAGAATCTCGCTGCATGAGTAAATATTTTTAACGTGTACTACACACACTTGTTATGATTCATTTCATCAATATTGAAATGGATGCAGACTTGCCAACTATTGAACTAACTACATTATTTTTGTAGATGCAGACTTGCCAACTCGCGACCAAGCTCGATCACACAGTTGAAATGGATATGGTGGTGTGGTGTCAAACACACTGCTGACTTCTACACTTGAGCGACTATAGCTGACGAAAAAACACCTCTCGTCCAAAGGTTCTGGAAACCTGAAGACAAGGTTGCCTTTACTAGGAAGTTAAATAAATAAAGTTTCGGCTTTCAATGTGTTGAACACTAAGTAACTTGAGTAACACCTCACTTCACCAATAAAGCTAATGAAGTGACCTCTTTCAGTGAGAGAATCAAGGACTCCTCGCCGGT